TTTAGCATAGTATAATTTATATATAGTATAGTTTACCATTCTTTAGTATAGTTTAGTTTAGCATAGTATAGTTAATATATAGTATAGTTTACCATTCTTTAGTATAGTTTAGTTTAGCATAGTATAATTTATATATAGTATAGTTTACCATTCTTTAGTATAGTTTAGTTTAGCATAGTATAATTTATATATAGTATAGTTTACCATTCTTTAGTATAGTTTAGTTTAGCATAGTATAATTTATATATAGTATAGTTTACCATTTTTTAGTATAGTTTAGTTTAGCATAGTATAGTTTATATATAATATAGTTTACCATTCTTTAGTATAGTTTAGTTTAGCATAGTATAGTTTATATATAATATAGTTTAGCATTCTTTAGTATAGTTTAGTTTAGCATAGTATAGTTTATATATAGTATAGTTTACCATTTTTTAGTATAGTTTAGTTTAGCATAGTATAGTTAATATATAGTAGAGTTTACCATTCTTTAGTATAGTTTCATTTAGCATAGTATAATTTATATATAGTATAGTTTAGCATTCTTTACCATAACATAGTATCACAAAATAATAAATTTCAGAGTCATCTTCCCTTCCTTCATCTGGGGCCAAGGCAAATACAACAGCTGGGCCCCCCTTACCCCACGCCCGAGAGCAGGCGGCAGAAGAGGAAGGTGCCGTAGCCCTGGACGAAGGAGGAGAAGAAGGCGAAGACGCTGTTGACGGAGAGGGAGATGAGGAGGCACTGCCTTCGGCCCAGCCGGTCGGCCAGCCCGCCCCACACGAACGCGCCCACCATCATGCCCAGGTACACGATGAGTCCTGGGGAGGGGGGGGGACACACACAGCCAGGTCAGTGCTGGGGGACACGAGGACCTGCACCCCGAGTCACCCCGGGGAGGGAGAGCATCCTGGGCGCTTGGGCAGGGACCCTCTCCTCAAAACGCTGGGTCCCCTTGAAGGGAGGGGGCAGAACGCCCTGTTGTCCCCCTGATCTGCTCAGGGACTGTGGGACATGGGGGGCAGGTGTGCCACCAGGACCCCCACACCCAGCCCTGTCCCAAGATTGCCACATCTCAGGGATGGGGGGCACCGGTGTCCCCTGGGGTTTGGGGGGGTCTCAGGCTCCAGCAGGCGTCACAGAGAAGGGGGAAGCAATGGAACAAAGCCCCCCATGGCCCCCCAAAGGCAGTCTCAGCATCCAGTCAGCCCAAATTCCTGAGCTCGCTCCCCGCAGCTGCCCCTCGCCATTGTGGGGACCAGTGTGGGACAGGGAGGAGGATGGTGGGAGCCCTCACCGGGGGGGTCCTGCACCCCTCCCCATCCCCACATCCCTTCCTGGACCCCACACCGCACGGCCTCACTGCCTCCCAATTCTTCCTGTGTTCTTCCATAGCCCCTGTGACCCCCCCACACCTTCCTGAGCCCCCCATGTCCTTCCCCATCCCCACCCTCCTGTGCTCCCCTGCTCCCTCGTGTCCCCCTACAATCCACATCTCTCTCTGCATCCCCACACCTCCCAGTGCCCCTCCACGTCCCCTGTCCCCCCCACCCACGACTCCCACACCCCCCTACCTGCCCCCCGCGCCCCTCTCCTCACCCAGCATGCCCTTGTTGGAGTCGGAGAGGCACATGTCCTTCTCGGCGCTGGGCAGGACGAAGCCCACCACAAAGATCTCCACGCCGTCAGCCATGAGGGCCAGGCCCAGGACAAAGTAGAGGGTCCACTGGAATCGGCCGTGGCCGCATTCCTGCAGGATGAGCTCGTACTGCTGCGCCAGCTCCTCCCTGTCCTTCCTCCGCTGCCCCTCGCTGTCGTCGAAAGCGCCGGCGGCCGCCGCGGCCCCCAGGCGCTCCCCCCCCTTCAGCGACTCCTGCCGGGGGATCCCTTGGTACTCGCCCTCGTAGATCTCATCCTCCTCATCGTGGCCTTCAGTGGCGTCGCTGGACACCCCCTCCTCCTCGTTGGCCCCCTCGCCCCCCCGGTAGTAGCCGTCCTGGGGCGCGTAGTCTTCATCGTCCTCCTCCTCCTCGAAGCGGGAGTAGGAGCGCCGGGTGTACTCGTCCTGCACTCGGTCCATGCCCCGGCTCACCTTCTTGGCCGCGTGCTTCTTCACCTCCTTGGCGATGTCCTTGGCGCCGCGGATGAACGCGGTCCGGTCCCGGAACGACTCGTCCATGGCGTCCTTGGGGCTGGGACGGGGCGCTGGCGGTGCAGGGGGTGTCTCTGCCTTGGGGGGGCTGCGCCCTCAAGCCCGGGGTGAGGGGAGAGGGGTGGTGGAGCTACCCATCCGTGGAATGGGGTGTGGGAGGACCCTGGATGCCAGCCTGGACCTGGGGAGCCCAGAGAAAACCAGGCTGAGGTTGGGTGGTGGTGGCCTTGCGTTCCACTTTGCACTTTTTTTCCGTCTCAGATGGAAACAGGAGGATTTGGGGACTCCCCCCCGGTGAAGCAGCAGGTGAGGGCTGGAGTGGGGACAGGCTGGCTCTATGCCAGCCCCCTTCCCCTCACCTGGGGGGCTCCAGCTGCCACAGTTCACTGGGACCCCCCTGGATCCATCCCTTCTGCCCTTGTCCCGAAGAACAGGGGGAGCTGGGGGGACATCAGGGCCACGGCTGCCCCTGAGCATCCCCACTCCTTCCCCCCAAAAAACAAGGCCATTAGCAGGTCTGCTCCCCATTTCCCTGAGCACCACAGGGAGGATGAGGGGGTCAGCCCCCAAGGGCCCCCAAACCCTCCCAGCACCACCTTGGCTGGGTGGCTCAGGGGACAGGAGCCCCTCAGAGGATCCCTGGGGGGGTCCCTGGAGTGACAGTGACCCAAATGTGCCAGGCCACGCTCACTGCAGGAGCTGCCAGGCAGGATTTACAGAGGGAAACGCCAACACTGGTGGCCAAAGGGGGCTGGGGGGTACCACGAGTCCCCTGGGGACAGCAGAGGGCCATCCAAACACCTGGGGGTGGCATCTCCATGTCCCCTCACATCCCAGCATCCCACCCCCTCTTCCCCACACCCACTGCACAGAGCCCGGCTCAGCTCGTGACAGGGATGGACCCGCAGCCCCCCAGCCCGATGCTGCTGCTCCTCCACCCTCGGGGGCCGTCGTGACCCCCCCCCCCAAGTGCTATTTTTATCGCCGGCCAGGCGGGAAGGAGCTGCGGGCAGAGGGACGCAGCCGGCGACGTGTCCCCCCCTGCCCAGGCGAGGGGACAGGGCACGCAGGGATGCTAAATTTAGCTCTTTGGGAACCCTGCAGGGAGGGGGGCTGCGGCACGGCATGGGCCCCCACTCCCGAGCAGAGGCAGGCAGGTGGTTTTACAGGACAAAACGACAAATTCCACCCTCCTTGTCGTCCCCTCTGGCTGCAGGGAGACCCCAGTCCCCTCCCCAGGGCTCCTGGAAGGGGCCGATCCATGAGCAAGGTCATTTTGCTCCAGCCAGGCTCGCGCTTCCCTTTGGAACCTCCCCGTGTGGGGCCGGCATTCCACAGTCCGGGAGGTATTGGGGGGCCCGGCAGGAGGAATGGGGGAGCACGGAGAGGCCGGGTGCACGGTGAGGAAGAGGATGGGCTGGGGGAGCAAGGTCACGGCTGGCTCGGTGACAGAGAGCGGCCGTACAAACCAGGGAGCCGCGAGCGGCCGAGCCGACGCCAGGAGCCAGAGCTGGCTGAGATCGGGGGTTTTGACCCCACGAGAGAGGCAGAAATCCCCCAGACCACAGTCCCTGAAATGTGGGAGCCAGGGAGGACCCCAAAAAACGCCCGTTTTGGGGGCTGAACACGCCGCTGGCCCTGCAGCCCCGTCGTGGCGTTGGACAGCTCTGGACAAGGTTATGGGGTCTGGATCTGTCTCCTCCTGCCACGCATCCAAGAGGAGCCGAGGATCGATGCAACCGTGCACCCCAAAACCCCCGGGAGTCCCACGCTGGGGGGGCTGCATTCCCCCCTCACCCCCCCCCGCAGCCCCCAGCCTCCCTGCGGAACGCCAGGAACATGGCGACACGGGGGAAGAGTTGGGAATCGCTCGTGTCCAAGGTCACCCCCCAACATCCCCCCCTGCTACCCCTTCCCCAAAAACCCCCCGGTCGCCCCCTCCCATCCCTGCGGCGAATTCCCGATCCCCTCCGGCTGCTCTGCGGCCACAGGCGCGGGGGGAGGGATGAGAGGATCCCCCAAAAACGCACATCCAAAGGCAGAGCCGGGCTCCGGAGAAGGTTTTCCAGGACAAAATGGCCACAGCAAGTGGGGAAAGGGAAGCCGAACCCCGAATCCATCAGCGAGGACGCCGATTAACGCCGCGGGGAGGGGGGATGCGGGGTATAAACCCATTTTGTTCCCCCTTACCTGGCTCAGCCCTCTCCAGCTCCTTCCCGGTGCCGGCGAGGGGGATGCTCCGGCGAGGAAGGATGCTCGGGGAAGGGATACGGAGAGGAAAAAGAGGATGCTCCGGCAGCGAAACGGAGCGACGGGAGCTCCCGGGTACCGGCGCTACCGCCGCAGCCTCCGCCGCACACACGGAGCGCTGGGAGAGTCCATCGGCGCAGCCCCGGGAAGGGAGGGATCAACCGCGGCACGCGGAGAACCGGGGGGGCTCGGCGGGGGCGGGGGGCTCGGCCCACCCCGGGGCGGCGGGGGGGAGCGATGGATCTCCCGGGATGCGCAAGCGGAGCTCGGCGTTCCCGGGATGGAGCTGCCGGGATGGAGCCGCTCCGGAGGATGCGGATGGAGGGGAGAGGCGGGTGGGATGGGGGGCATCGACCGGGGACCCCCCCCCAAGCCCCCCGGAGCTCTCGGAGAAGCTCAGCCCGCCCCCGCCCCCGTCACGGCTGAGTCACGGCCTCCGCGGGGCTGGATTGGGATTTTTTTGGGATCAAATCGTCCCCGCCTGGGCTGGTCAGACTCGGCCCCGAGGCTACAGCGCGACACAAAAGCCACCGATGGATTTATTTTATTTTTTTTTTTTAGGGAATTTTTAGGGCTGGAGATGGACATTGCAGCACGGGATATTCAAAGCCACCCCCGTTTCTCATGGATGGATTCCCGAGGGTGGGAAATTGGGAGCTGCAGCTCTCCAGCCCCAAAACGCCGGGGTGCTGGGTGCTCCTGGGACTGGCTGAGCTCAGACTGGGGGGGATTTGGGGTGCCCCCACGAGGAAAATATTCCCTGACCCCTTCACTGGCATTCCAATGTTCCCTGGGCCACTTCATCCTGCACCCCAACATTCCCAGAGCCCCAACCTTCCCTGCATCCCTGCAAGGAGCTGACCCTCCCCAACTTCCAGGGTGCCAACCCCAAAGCCTCACACTCTGTCAGGATCCATCCAAACCAGCATTTCACCCCTCAGATGGAAAAACAGGGATGGGGACCAGTCTGCACTGGGAAGGATTTGAAACCCAGGAGCTGAGAAATAATTGTGATGTTCATTTTTGGGGGGAAAAAAACCCCAAAAAACTAAAAGGAGGATGGAAGTGCAGGACGAGGCTGGCGGTGGAGGAAATGGGCAGCACCAGGATCCAGGCTGTGCCCTCCAGGGATCACGAGCCTGGGGAGGGGACAAGGAGTGCCACATCCTCAGGCACCCTGTGACTCATGTGCCACTGTCAGCACAGAGCCCCCGGCGTGTTTTTGTGGGTCATCAGAGGGAACAGGCTTGGCAGCAGGACAGGGAATGGCTCCTCTTGTCTTGAGGGCTCCATCCAGCCCAAAACACAGGGAAAGAGCTGAGGGGAATGGGATGAAAACAGGGAGAAAATGGGAGGGAAGGGGAGAAAATCAGGGCTGACAAAGGACTGCAGTCAGGGGGAAGAGAGGATGTGACTGGGAATGACAGGGTAACACCCGGGATGATGGGATAAAACGGGGTGACAGTGGATGCCTCCAGGGGAGAAGAGGATGATGATGATGATGATGATGATGATGATGATGATGATGATGATGGTGGTGGTGTCCATGCAGGGAGATTGGCTGCCCCGGGTGGATCCTGGTGGCTTCCATGACTGAGGAGCAGGGAAATGCCACCCTGGGGCTCCCTGCATCCAGACAGGAATCTTTGGATTCTGGAGATCTCCTCAGCCCCTTGGCTCTCAGCAGCACAGGGAAGCCCCATTCCCACAGCACACATCCCACCCCTGGCACTTAAATCCACTCACTCCACCAGTCCACGTGGGGTTCTCCCCACATTTCTGGATGTGAAGGATCAGGAGGGGGTTCCAGGCTTCCCTTCTATCCCATCCAGACCCTCGGGCTCCCACCTGGCTTTAAGAAGACAACACTGGGATGAAGAAGGAAGCAAGCAGCAAATTCCCACTTCCATGCCCCCCCATAAACTCCCAGCTCTTGGGGGCTCTGGCATTGCCCAGGGGCAGGAGAAGCCTTTTGAAGATTTCCCAGGGGAATCTTTGACTTTGGCTAAACCTTGGCACCAAAATATTCCACGGCCAAACCTCAGCTCCCTGGATTTGGGCAGGTCAAGAACGGGAATCCAGACATTTCCTTGGAGCAGCTGAAGAGAGCACACTCTTCCAGGCTTACAGGTGGAGCAGGGATCAGCTCTGCCCCAAATCCCTCCAGCCTGGTTCTTCCCAATGGCCCAAGCAGGGAAAAGATCTCACTCCCAATCCAAAAACACTTTTGGTTCCCAAATCCTTTATTTGCAAGTGGGTGGCCGCTGCTTTCCATACAAAACCAACAAAATCCAGTAAAAAGAAGCTTGGGAAAGCTTCCAGGGGAAGAGAAACAGGAGATGGGGAGAAGGAGGAAAATTAACACTATAAAAACAAATGAGGGGGAGAAATGGGGAGGGAAGGGAGGAGCAGGGCATGGCCCCCAGCCCTTGGCAGGAGTGGGAATGTTGACACCAGGGGCTGTGGAAGGATGGGGAGCAGAGAGTCCCCCCCTCCTCAGGGCAGGGGTCCTCGCAGGGGGCCACGAGGGGGGACTCCAGGGGGTCTCTGAGCCGGTCGAGGGGGCAGTGGGACCCTCTGGTAGCCGTAGGGGGGGGGCCTGGGGGGCCCGTTGTAGCCGTGGGGGGGCATCAGCGGGGGGGGCCCGCGGAGCCCGTGGTGCGGCAGCGGCCCGGGGTGACCTGTGGGGGACAGGGGGGGTCAGAGCCAGGGGGAAAGGACAGAGCCCCCCCAAACCCCCTGGAGGAACACGATCCACCAGCCCAAACCCACCTCCCAAAATTCCCTGGAGGTGCCCACCCCACACCCAGGGGTGCCACATGCAGCAGGTGCCCCCCCAGCTTGGCAAACTCTCCCCAGAATCAGGAATTGCTCCAAAAACCAAAAAGGGCATCCAAAACCCCCCCAAAGCTGTGGCTATCCCCATGGTGGGGTGCAGGGTCACAATGAGGAAGTTCTGTGAAGATCCCAAAATTCCCTGGAGGTGCCCACCCCACCCAGGGGTGCCACATCCAGCAGGTGCCCCCCCAGCTTGGCAAACTCTCCCCAGAATCAGGAATTGCTCCAAAAACCAAAAAGGGCATCCAAAACCCCCCCAAAGCTGTGGATATCCCCATGGTGGGGTGCAGGGTCACAATGAGGAAGCCCTGTGAAAACCCCAAACTTCCCCGGGGGTGCCCACCCCACCCAGGGGTGCCACATGCAGCAGGTGCCCCCCCAGCTTGGCAAACTCTCCCCAGAATCAGGAATTGCTCCAAAAACCCCTGTGGGCACAAAGGGGCATCCAAAATCACCCCAAAGCTGTGGATATCCCCATGGTGGGTTGTAGGGTCACTATGATGAAGCCCTGTGAAGACCCCAAAGTTGTGGGGGGTGGGTGCCAGGTCCCCCAGGTTTTGCTTCACACCCCTCCTCCTCCTCATCCCACAAAGCAGAGCCCCCCCAAAACAGACCCCGCTCACCCATTGGAGATCCAAAGTGTGGCCCCCGAGGGGGGAGCCCCATGGGGGGGGGCCCTGGGTGTGGCATTCCCGGGGGGGGCCGGGGGGGTGGCTGTCCTCCAGAGCCTGGTGGTCCTGGGTGGTGCTGCCCCATGCCAGGTGGCCCGTGGTGCACCTGCATGGGTGGCATTCCTAGGGGGAGGATGGAGTTAGGGGTGCCAGGAAGCAGGGAAGCAGCTCTGGGCACCCCCAGGAAGCAAAATTCCAGCTGGATCTGGAATTCCAGCTGGATCTGGAATCCCAGCTGGGTCTGGAAATCATGGGTGCAGAGGGGCTTCTGCTGCCAAAAAAAGGGTTAAAGAGAAGGGAACACGGAGTTTACAGCAAGAAGAAAGGGTTTGGATGCAAGTGGGTGGGAAAAGAGATGGCACAGAGAGTGTGTGCAGCCCTGGGACAGTGAGGAATCCCCATCCCTGGAGAATTTGGACAAGCTCCCAAAGCAATCCAAAGCTGGAGGTTGCCCTGCTCTGACTGGGGCAGCCAGGGTTCTCCCAAACTTCCTTTCTCCCAATTATCCCATTAAAAAAAACACCAAACCAATGATTCTTTCCTCCCAAGCCTGGTTTTCCCTGGCCAGGTGTAATTGGCTCTGCTCAGGCCCTGCAGCATCTGTTCCTGGCATGAACAGAGTAGGATCACACAAAGCTCCCTAATTAGGGTGGCTCTGGAGCCACAGGATCAAACAAATCCCAGAGAATCATTAAACTGCACATTTCACAACATCTGTGCTGTTGAACACAGAGCTGAGGTGCAGACACTGCTCCTTCCCAGGACCACAGGGCCAAAATGTGGGGAATCAGGGAAAAAAACTGGTTTCATTCAATCATGAATGCCAAAATCAGCTCCTGCCTTCCTTCTCTGCATCCCTGCCTCCCTTCCCGTGTCCCTGCCTCCCACACCTTCCCAACTGAAGGCAAAACCTCCTCTCCCTGCTCAGGTGCCTCCCAGACAGAAACAACCTCCTGAACTCCCCAGATCCTTCAGCAATCACAATCCCCACTCAGAGAATATTTCACTATTTTGATAATTATCAAAAATCCAAAAAATGGATGGCACGTGCTTAATTCCTTAAATGGACCAGTCAGTTAATTAGGTCGAATTCAGAAACGAAATAATTTGTGTTCGAATTGTTTGAAGTGTCTAGCAGGAAGGGAAGGAAAGGGGAGGGAAGGGGAAAAGGAGAGGAAAGAGGAAAGACAAGGAAAAGGGAAGGGAAGGGAAGGGAAGGGAAGGGAAGGGAAGGGAAGGGAAGGGAAGGGAAGGGAAGGGGAAAAGGAAAGGAGAAAAGGAAATAAAGGAGAAAAGGAAAGGAGAAAACGAAAGGAGAAAAGGAAGGAGGAAAGGAGAAAAGGAAAGGGGAAAAGGAAAGGAGAGGAAAGACAAGGAAAAAGGGAAGGGAAGGAGAAAGGGAAAAGGAAAGAGAGAAGGAAAGGGAAAAGGAAAGGGAAAAGGAAAGGGAAAAGGAAAGGGAAAAGGAAAGGGAAAAGGAAAGGGAAAAGGAAAGGGAAAAGGAAAGGGAAAAGGAAAGGGAAAAGGAAAGGGAAAAGGAAAGGGAAAAGGAAAGGGAAAAGGAAAGGGAAAAGGAAAGGGAAAAGGAAAGGGAAAAGGAAAGGGAAAAGGAAAGGGAAAAGGAAAGGGAAAAGGAAAGGGAAAAGGAAAGGGAAAAGGAAAGGGAAAAGGAAAGGGAAAAGGAAAGGGAAAAGGAAAAAGGGAAGGGAGAGGAGAGGGAAGAGGAAAGGGAAAAGCAAAGCAAAGAAGGAAAGACTAAAAGCGGAGGATCCCCGGCCCCCCGCAGCCCCGTACCTGGGTGGTGCATCCCCCCCGGCGGGAAGGGGTGAGGGTGAGGGGGGTGTCCCCCGGTGGGGGCGGCTCCCGAGGGGGGCCCGGGGGCTCCGGCGCCCGGTGGCATCGGCGGGGGTGGCATGGCCGGGGGCATGCCGGGGGGCAGCGCTCCGGGCGGCGGCACCGGCGGCGGGAAGGAGCCCGGGGGAGGCAGGCCTGGAACACAAAGGAGAATTCCCCCCCCCGGGTGTCATTTCCTTACAGCAGGAACACCAAAAACACAATGTTAGCGTGTGGTAGATGTGAATCCACGTGTCTGCTTTGCAGAGGAAGATAAAAATCCATGAATTCCTCACTTTATTCAGCCATAAAACAAACTGAGCGGCCACAGCAGCCTTGGTTATAGGCCCCATGTTTAAATAAGGGCCTGCAAATGGGAGAAAAATAATCACAACCAAGTGTCACCCAAACCAGGGTAGGCTGGACCACACGGTGTCACTTAATGAGGTTTCTATAGCAGCACACAAAAATTAATTGCTCAAGAATTGTTATTCCCTTTTTTTTTTTAAGATGCCCCACGTTGGGCGCCAAAATCGGTCTTGGTTTGGAAAGGTATGTGTGTGCTAAGCAAGGCAGGAGCCTGCCCTGAAGTGGAAAATAAATAAAATTAATCAATAAAAATGAAAATAAATGAAATAAACCCTCTCCCTCCAAATTGCTATACATTTTTAAGAAGGAGGGTTACTGTGGCAGCAGCTCTCTGGCCACAGGGAGCAGGCACAGACTTTCCCAGGATTTTCCTGGGAGATTTTCTCTCATTGTTATCTTTTTAGCATTCAGTATCTTGTGTATTCTTTAAGTATCAGATATAAGTATATATAAAGTATCTGATACTTAAAGAGTTTTCATTACTCTTTTTAGCATTCAGTATCTCTTGTGTATTCTTTAAGTATCACGTATAAGTATATATAAAGTATCTGATATTTAGAGTTTTCATTACTATCTTTTTGGCATTCAGTATCTTTTGTGTATTCTTTAAGTATCAGATATAAGTATATATAAAGTATCTGATACTTAAAGAGTTTTCACTGCTATCTTTTTAGCATTCAGTATCTTCTGTGTATTCTTTAAGTATCAGATATAAGTATATATAAAGTATCTGATACTTAAAGAGTTTTCATTACTATCTTTGTAGCATTCAGTATCTTTTGTGTATTCCTTAAGTATCAGACATAAGTATATATAAAGTATCTGATACTTAGAGTTTTCATTACTATCTTTTTAGCTTTCAGTATCTGATACTTAAAGAGTTTTCATTACTATCTTTGTAGCATTCAGTATCTTTTGTGTATTCCTTAAGTATCAGACATAAGTATATATAAAGTATCTGATACTTAGTTTTCATTACTATCTTTTTAGCATTCAGTATCTTTTGTGTATTCTTTAAGTAAGTATCAGATATAAGTATATATAAAGTATCTGATACTTAAAGAGTTTTCATTGTTATCTTTTTAGCATTCAGTATCTTTTGTGTATTCTTTAAGTAAGTATCAGATATAAGTATATATAAAGTATCTGATACTTAGAGTTTTCACATTACTATCTTTATAGCATTCAGTATCTTTTGTGTATTCTTTAAGTATCAGATATAAGAAAATACTACACAGAAGATACAGATAGATGCTATAGATACCATACAGAATAGATACAGTAAGTATCTGTTCTGTACAGTATTTTTTACCATCACATAGTATTATAAAGCTATAAATTAGCCTTCTAACGAAGAGAACACAGCCACACACGTTATTTTTGCCTTCACTGGGGCCCCCCAGAAAACACAACCGGCGTTTTAGCACCAGCACCTCCAGCCCTGCCCCGTCACCCACCTGGAGGGGTGACACCGGGCCCCAGCGCGGTGACCACGGGCGTGGGCACGGACGGGGGCGGCGGGGCGTCGGCGAAGAGCTGGTGAGGCCTGTCAGCCTGGGACAGGGGGTTCTGGGCAGCCAGCAGCCGCTCGGCCGCCGAGCCGTGCCGCTCGCCCTTGGAGTCCTTCTTGAAGGCGTAGGACACGGTGATGGGCCGGTTGCACAGGTACTGCCCGTTCATGGCCTCGATGGCCGCGTCCGAGGCGTCGAAGCTGGCGAAGTTGATGAAGGCGTAACCCTTGGAGTTGCCCGTGTCGGGGTCCCTCATGATCTTGGGGGTCTGCAGGATGACCCCGAAGGCGCTGAAGGTGTCGTAGAGGAGCTTCTCGTCGATCTCGGGGTCCAGGTTGCCGATGAAGATGTTGGCGCCCACGTCCAGGTTCTTGTTGTGGGCCGAGGCCTTGTTGACCCGGATGGGTTTGCCGTAGAGCTTGATCATGTTCATGATCTTGATGGCGTAGTCGGCGTCCTCCTCGCTCAGGAACTCCACGAAGCCGTACCCTGGGGGACCCCAAAGGGGCTCAACACAGCTCAAAGGGGTTTCACAGGGGGCCCCAAAAGGGTTTCAGGACAGAAATCCTGGGGCCCAAAAGGATTTCAGGACAAAAATCCAAAAAATTTCCCCTGGACCCCAAAAGGGTTTCAGAACAGAAATCCTGGACAGAAATCCAAAAGATTTCAGGACAGAAATCCTGCACCCCAAAAGGATTTCAGGACAGAA